ATGGGAATCATCTACATTCCCTCTTTCCTCCGGCCTCCCTCAGGCAACCTATTACAAAGTCCACCTGATTTTTAAAAAAATATATTTTATTGATTTTTTACAGAGAGGAAGGGAGAGGGATAGAGAGTTAAAAACATCTATGAGAGAGAGAGACATCGATCAGCTGCACACCTCCCACTGGGGATGTGCCCTCAACCAAGGAACATGCCCTTGACTGGAATCGAACCTGGGACCCTTGAGTCCGCAGGCCAACGCTCTATCCACTGAGCCAAACCGGTTAGGGCTGATTTTTTAAAATATAGCTTTACTGATTTCAGAGAGGAAGGGAGAGGGAGAGAGAGAGAGAGAGAGAGAGAGAGAGAGAAACATCAATGATGAGAGAGAAATATTGATCGACTGCCTCCTGCATGCCCCCTACTGGGGATCGAGCCCGCAACCCAGGCATGTGCCCTTGGCTGGAATCGAACCCGGAACTCTTCCGTCCGCAGGCCAACGCTCTATCCACTGAGCCAAACCAACTAGGGCTCCACCTGATTTTTACCACCTACATCACTTCTCTTTCTACTTCTCTCCACGTCTATCATCATCATATTATCCAAGGAACTGTCACCCTTCACCGACAGTAGCCCCGGATCTACTAAAGAGACCCCTCCAATTCACTCTCCAGAAGGAGGCCAAAGTGACCACACAAATCCCATCAGATCCCCACCTCCACTCCTTCCAGCAAAACAGCAGGATCTCCCAATACTCTGGGGCAAAGGTGGGGCTCCTCCAAAGCCCTCTGGCTGGCTGAGCAGCAGGGTGACGCTGGGACCAAAATGGACCAGACAGGCGTGGGAGTCCTGGCCCCACCCTAAGTGGCTTCCCACCCTGAGGTCTGGCTCACAATTGGCTCAGTCTCACCAGGACTGACCCTCCCCCAGGGCAGACCTCATCTGACCACAGATGGGAAGGGAGCTGGCCGGCAGTCAGGGGAAACACAGCTGGGCTGATGCCAGGGCTCGTGCACTTCAGGAAGGAGAGGGGATAGAGCAAGAGCAGCACCACAAAAGACCATCGGTGTCCGGGGCCCGCCAGAGAAGGCAGCTGTCAGGAGGATAACACTCAAGGAGCCTATCTCTTCCCTCTTATCAGACTGACCCAGGGCAGCCTGTGGAGAATAAACAGTCATTAACAACCCCTGCCACACTTTCTGCCAGCACAATCCTGTGTGCCCAGCCCAGCTCAGGGCCGAAAGCCTGGGCCTTTCCTCCCTGCCAGGGCGAGTCTTCGAGCCCATCTCTGGACCCGACCACCCCAGTTTGCCTCCCTTCTTGGGCAGTGATCCAAGAAATCATATACTCTGGCCAAACGAGTCTCCTCAAGGTCCCCAGTGATCCCCTGCCTTTCAGTTCAGGCATTTGCATCCTGGTATGTGCTGCCTTTACGTCACACCTTCCTTCTCCATCGCCAGCTTCCCTCTCCACCTTCCTTTTCCGTCACCACCCTCCTTCTCCACCTTCCTCCTCCGTGAAACCCTGCCCCGCCCCCTTCCAGGCTCTGTTCTCAACTCAGCCCACTTGCCCTGTGTCTGTGCTGATGACCGGGGTCCTCCGTGATCAGCTGTGGCTTTGGGGAAAACCTGGCTAGAGCAGAGCCCAGGGCATAAGGGGGTGAGGGCATTGGGAGCATAAAAAAATGGGTACCCTATAAACAGTCACCCCAGGGCCTAATGGGTAGCCAGTGTAGGAAGGGAGGAATGCGATGAGAGACCAGATGGGTTTTTCTGCCTGAACCCACACAGAGTCAGAGCAAGGGCTGAGGGACGAGGACAAGGGGAGGCCCGGGGACCATTCCCTCGGCTGCAGGAGCCCACGTGCTCCAGGCTGGCTGCTGTCAGTGCTTCCGAGCAGGTTAGGAGAAAGGTCAAACTGAGTTCCCCGGACGTCGGTGCCTCATTGTGGAATCCTGTGCCCCCTGCACCACCTTCCCTCTCAGATTATGGTGTACCTCTGCCAAGTCTACCAGATGGTTTGAGAGGGAATCCCTGAGCAGGTCTTCAAATTCTGTTTTCATAGATGAGGACTCTGAGGCCCAGAGAAGGGCAGTGACTCACCTGATGAACTGGGTAATCCACCTTGTGGGTAGCTGTATGCATCTAACCAGACTGGGCCCTGGACTATGGAAACCATTGAGAGGACACCTGAGCAAACAAGCTGCTTCCCCTTTGAAGGGCCAAACAGCCCTACCCTGAGGCTCTCAGGCCCTCGGCCAATGGCCAATGCAGGCCTCACCTGGGCCTCACTGCCTGCCAACAGAGGACCTGCTGGCTTCTCTCCGTTTTGCACAGGATGAATGGCAGGGCAGGCCCACAGATCTGGTCCAGGATGGGCAGGAATTGCTAGGATGGGCAGCCTGAGTGAAAGAAGACACCCTCTAAAATACATCAGCCGGCAACCGAAGGACTTGTGTGCATGCATATAAGCATAACCAACGGACACAAGACACTGGGAAGATGGGGTAAGGGCATGTGCCAGCGGGTAGGGGAGGCCAGGGGAAGGTCAAAGGGGGGAAAAAAAGGAGACACGTGTACTACTATTTGCAATACTTTAAACAGTCAAATAAAATTTAAAAAAATAAAATACATCAGCCGGGTTTGAAGGGAGAAGAGATGTCTTCTGTGTTAAGTACAGGAAATGCCACTTGAGAGATCAGAGCTCACATTCGTCCTGTAAGTTTGCCTAGGGTCAAGCATGAACCGCTTTTCAGGCACCAGGGAAAGTCCTTCATCAACCAGCTGCCACTCTGGTCTTAGGCGAAACCTCCTTCATTTTAACTGTTTACCCTGCTCCCCATTTCACAGCACCTTCCTACCTATGGAAGTGCCCATGTTAGATCCCCAACACTGACAAGGCCTGAAGGGGGTCCTCATTCTTCTCCTCACCCCCTTTAGGCTTTCCTGTCTCCCCTCCCTGTGGTCCCGGGAGTCTCCTCCTGAGCTATGCTGGAATCCCCAGGAATGAGCCAGTCGCTGAAAAGGCACTGGTCCAGAGAAACACCAACCACTCAGGGACAGGATGGAACAGAGAGAAGGCCGATCCCCTGGAAACTCCCTCCTGGCCTGGCATCCCCAGACGCACACACCTCCCCACAGAGCCCAAGAGAAACAGGGAACCGGGAGGGGTTCAGAGGCTCTCCCCTCTCCCGCCTGGTTCCCTCAGCCTCATTCCCTTTGGCGGCTGGGACTTTCCTATCCTCCTGCCTCTGGTTCCAGTTCACCATCAGTGCGAAATGACTGGCATTTGTTCTGTAACTAAACTTGAGTGGCAATGAGAATGTTGGGGAACTTGACTCACAGGGAGGGGGGAACCAAATTTCTACTCAAGTCCCTTTCAAGCCTCCAGGAACCCTGCAGAGGAAGGAGGGAGGCAGTGGGGGTGGATGAGGAGAGGAAAACTGGAGGAGAGGAAAACTGGAGTTTCCATCCGTGCTTCAGGGGCGATCCCCACTCCACCCCCAATTCCCTCACCTGTGCCTCTTCCTGTAATCACCCCTCGGCTTCCCCTCTTCGCTCCCCCTCCAAATTCCCTGTAGCCACACAAATAAATAACTTGTTGATTTTTCCTCACCAGAGCAGCTCCCTCTGGACCAATTAGCTATTTGCATTTGTGGCTGATTTTCTTCCTTAGTGGCTGCAGATCCGCTCAGGCTGGGGGGTAGTTGCCTGCCCGCGGTGCTCGGACTTTACAGCAGAAGGACTCCTTAGACAGAGAGGGTACAGCAAGGGGAGGACCGCTCGCTGGGGTCCCTGGGTCCTGCCCTGACACCGCAGGGTCCCCTGCCTTCTCCTGAGCCCTGCAATGTGGCCCTTTTGAGAGCAGTTACAGTCCACACCAGAACTATTTCAATGTCCCGTACCAGAACTATGTGTTTTGTTTTAATACTGCTATTAAACAAATAAAAATGTAGCACTGATAGCAACATAAAGAAAAGTTATACGTTTGTCTCCATTTCCCTTTATTGCAAATGGTGGTAGTATGCACTGCCTTCAGAGATGGCAACACATCAGGTATACTGAGTGCCAACAGCTGGAATGGAAGGGAACAGTCCTCCTGACCCCGGGAAGATGGCCTTTCCTCTGAGCATCTGCGGGGATCAATGACCCGTCAGCACGGCTCCCCGCTGCTCCCACCCTGGAGAGGACCCTGCGCCCTTCCTCCCACTCCTGAAGGAGGAAACTTCTCCAGTTCTCAGCTGAAAAGCTGACCCAGCAAAGCGGAGCAGGGGTCTCCATGGCGCGGACGCCGGGAGCGCGCGGAGTGGGGGTTAGGCACGAAGTAGTGGACTATCCAGCGGGACCGGGGTTCGCCGCGCCTCCAGGGCTGGGGCTGAGGGCGCCACCCGGGAGCGGAACAGTCGCGCCCGGGGGAATGGGAGCGGCTGCATGTGCCAGAGCAGAAGGCGGGGCTGGGGATCGAGGCCA